TTCAACTCATAACTTACAGTCCGTGGATTTATCCCAGTAGCAGGTACTCGAAACGCTTAGTCCAGCACCAGTATTCGTTTGCATAATAACACATGTCACTGAAATGCAAATTCTATAAGAATAATGTATAATCATTCATAGGAACATTATAAAACCACGTAGATTGCTCGCTGGAGCTTGGAAATCACCGAGACCCCGGAAGCCAGGTGCAGTTACGTCAGGCTTTTCGATCCGGAAATGCCACTCTATTCCATTGCAGGTTGTAAGTTTCAGAGAAGTCCCAAATTTTTTAGCTGTTGCAAAAGGAAGAAGGTGCTAGCAGCAGAGAAATGAAGCTGGGGGCTAAATCCCTTCGTCTTGCCTAGTTGCACATCGATTCCATGTGATATGCAAATGTTCCGCCTTTTGACTTGAGCCCCCCCCCCTTTGTGATATGTAATGTTGTGATTAGAAATGAAGCAGTGATTGTTTTTTGTGTTTCAAGAATTGTATAGCGGCAGCTTGGAGCTGCTGTTGACGAATTTTTCAAGAGCGCTATTTTGTGCTTGTACTAATAAAGCTTTATTTGCTGACCTGGCCGAGTGTCCCCCATAGAAGCACTCTCGTCTGGCCTCTTTACGCTTATAACACAGCCCATAGATATCAAATTTCGAAAAAAATTGAATTTTACGCCCTACACAAAAAAAAAATAAGGTATAAGTTACAATCGAATGAAAAAAAAAAAAAAAAAAAGAGGAAGGCAGTAACTACTGACCAATGAATTTGTAGGGTTTGTTGAGTTTCACAAGATTGGTGGTAATTGTTTCCACAGCCTGCTGACTCCACTGATTCGTTATAACATGTTGATATGCGCTGTTTCCAATTATACTATCCAAGGCCTGAAATGTCATCAGTGCTTTTGCATTGATTTCACAGAACTTAAAAAAATTTTTTTTTAAAAAAAAAAACCTTTTCTTTTAAAATCTTTTTCTTCATCCTTCCTTTTCCCTTCACTCTTCACCCTACTCTTACTCCTTCTTATCCCACAATCATATCGTTTTCCCTTCTATTTCTTTCTGTCGTCTTTCTCTTTTCTTTTTCTATTCCATTAAGCAGTATGACCTTACACTGACGAGGTCCTGTCGCGATGTTAAGAGGTATATGGCTTAATGGACTGAAACGTCTTATCTCATTCTTATCTTCTTCTCTCATACTGTTCTTTCATGCTGTAATCTATCGCGCCTTCGCCATTTAGGCTTCCAGGGCCAACCTGGTTGCTACAATCGGCTT